TGAATTAAAAACAAAATTTGCACCGAGTAGTTCTATTTTAGATGATGCTTTTCCTTTTTATCTTAGACATCGATGAGTGCCTTACAGGAGGCCATGGGTGTAACCAGCTCTGTATAAACACACCAGGAAGCTATACATGCGCATGCGCACCAGGCTACCAACACACGAGCGCAACTCAGTGCAGTGGTAAGTAAATAACGGATGCGGACAAGCTGAGCCAAGTAAACATGCTAATATGTTGCAATATTGTTTTGTAGTACCATTGTTTCCATCTCATGGAAGAATTATGGGTTTTTTGACTGACATTCTTCTTCTTTTCCTTGTGATCGAAGCCTTTATTTGCAATGTTTGCCCGCATTTCGATCCCAGAAGGCTCAGTTTGCAATATCTTTGCGATTCGATGTTTTTTAAATTTGCTACTCTGTGTTTTAGATATTAAGGAGTGCAGTATGAATAACGGTGGCTGTAGCCACTCCTGTCACGAGAGACCAGGTGCCGTCACGTGTTCCTGTCCTAGTGGCATGAAACTCCTCAGTGGAGGACGTACATGTTCTGGTAGGTAATCAAATACTGAGCAATTCACTTCTACCGAGCGTGAGGCTCGACCCTGCTTGTGTATGAGTCTACCACACGGCACAGTTCTTGACATTGGCTGAGCCAGTGATTCACTTCTATCAAGCGCCCAAATTTCAACTTCGGGTAGTGACGTTCAATCTTGCGTGTGTGTAAGTCTACCAGTTGCATGACTCAATTCTATCGAGCGTGCAAATTTCGTCTTAGGGTAGCGTAGAGCCAGTAGTAACGCTCAATCCTGCATGTGAATAAAAGTCTACCACACGGCACGGTACCGGAGATTGGTTAAGCCAGTTATATAATTCACTTCTATCAAGCGCGCAAATTTTTCTCTTTTATAAAGTGGGGCTCAATCGTCGTAAAAGACCCAGCACGCTGCCCTAGCAAGATTAACGGTGGAACCAGTTGCAAACAGCGCGCAATGTTATTGTTTGTCCAATCACGATGCTTGGCGATGGATAGTGCCAACACCGAAATCAACTTCTAAATTCTAATTGGGATTTAAAGGAAAAAGAGTTTCTCTGTAGAAATGCCACTGTTAAATCCCACGCATTTTCATTTCATTTTCTTATTTATTTATTTATGATCTGACTGCTTTTCATTTCATAGATATCGATGAATGCTCTCGCGGTAATGGTGGATGTGAGCACACTTGCTTCAACACACTCCGTTCCTTCAAGTGCTTGTGTAACAAAGGCTATAGACTGAATTCCAATCAAAGGAACTGTGATGGTAATTACTGACTGCTTCACATACATCTTTTTCTTTTATGTGTACATCGTACTGATATCATTATCTGTTTATAATCCATCTATACTCAGTAGAGTACAAATATTATACTACCGGGCTCGACATGTACAAAATACTGCAAACTCAAAAAACATATATACCAGTATACTGCACCTTATAATGTCTAATAAGTTATTTTCGTTAAATCATAATATTTTATTTCATTTTTCGTGAAATAAAAGGAGATTCTGATTCTCATGGCGCCCATTGTCGTTTATGTGCGTCGGCAAGTTTCCTAAATTGGAAATTTTCAAATCTTTTATAAGCATCTTTTCATTTTTTTAGCGCGCACGATGTAAAATCATAATAATTAATTATAATTGCAATGGGGAACCCACAAAAATAAGTTTTTTGCCTGCCAAAGCGCGCGTCGTAAAGCATATTTTGATTTCAGAATGAAACTGGAAAAAGGAAGTGATGGAAAGTAATCGAATGAAAACTCCTACGTCAATAGCATTAACCATCTTTCTTCATTTACTTTTTTCCCTAGAACTTTCTTGTCCAGCTCTACTCCCTGTGGCAGACAGCACGAAAAAAGGAAACAGTAACTTGGTTTGGACTGCTGTCAGATACACGTGTAATAATGGCTTCAGGATTATTGGTTCATCGAGAAGGGAATGTCAGGCTGACTTACAATGGTCTGGTGTACAGCCACGCTGTGAACGTAAGTCCGACTCAAGTCTAATTGATTGCATGGGGTGATCTGCAACACTCATATCTGCTCTTTTTTCTTCTTGTCTTACATGGCAAACATATTTAGATATTCCTCTTATCGCATGGATATGTTCCCAATATCCTTTTTAAATCTTCTTTTTCTTTTTACGTTTTGAAACGGGGAGTCGTTGCCGAGTCTCCCAGCCAAAAGCTCATAAATCTCGCGTTCTGATTGGTTGGGAGCGCGGGCTTTAATGACAGCACACAGCACGTGCGCGCACTTTCAATTGCGTCATTCCTATCCAAAATAACGGTTATTGTACTTTATATTTTGTAAGAGAAATAAAAAACTTGCTTGCTGTTTTGTGTGGAGTTATAAAGCACTTTTGGGGATTGACAGAACACTCGAAAAGTATCGAGGACCACTTCACTATCCGTCGCGTTTTTCCTAACACTTCTCTTATGTTCTACCAATCYCCGCGTGCTTTATAACTGTACACGTCACGTTTCTAGATAAGAAGCCTGTGATCATTTTTCTCACTGCGCATTCCAACCAATGTTACTAGAAAATAACTTAACTGGTTCATTAAGGTACAAGGGCTAAAACATGCCCCTTTTGTTTCTATTTCAGGTTTATACTGCAGAGAAGTCGGCACGGTAAAGAATGCCGTTCGTTCACTTGTCAATTATCACAACAATCGTCCAGTGTTGGGCAGTATTGCTCGCTTCGCGTGTAACCCACATCACGTGATGCAAGGTTCTCCTGATAGGGTTTGTCAGGCTGATGGATCATGGAGTGGAGAATTACCAAGATGTATACGTGAGTAGAGTACTCGTTTATGTATAGACGGTTGAATGAGGAATGGGTTGATGGATAGATGGATTGGCGAATGGGTGAATGGATGAATGTATGAGTGGAGAGAAGGAAGGGGGAATGGATGTCTTTGGATAAAAAAGAAAGGGGTTGATATACATGGGGGAAAAACAAAATGAAAGAAGGAAGGAAGGAAGGAAGGAAGGAAGGATTATAAAGGGATTATAAAGAATAATTATTAGTTCATTGTGCAAAAATAAACAAGCTTGTTATCAATGATAGCATCATGCGCTTTCTGCTGCTGAGAGCTTTAATTTAATAAAAATATGTTATTAATCATCTGAAAACGCTTTTAATCCCCAGCGGCTTTCTGTTCCAAGTTGAACCCTCCGTCACGTGGAACAGTCCAAGGATACCGTTTTGAGTTGGGTGCAACCCTGCGCATTACATGTGATAAAGGATACAAATTAAAGCCAGCTTCATCGTCGTTCCGAACATGTGTCAAGACACCTTCTGGTGGAGGCACGTGGTCTGGCCAAGATCCTGTGTGCGAAAGTAAGTATTGATTAACCAGACTTTGATTCAGTTCGATTTGACACTGAAAGTGGACAAATATCCTATCCTAACATCAGGGGCAGAGATGGTAAAAGGGTGACTAGTCACCCCCCCCCCTCCCTTCCCCTTTGCTCAAATTTCTCAGTATACCGTTAGTATCGTTAACAGTCGCGGGCCCTTTCTCCTCCAATTTCCGTGCCAAACATTTGTAATAGTCCCCCCCCCCCCCCCTTCTAAAATTCCTGATCCGTCCCTGAACATTAGCCTAATTCAATCTAATCTCTATAATCTTACTCTGATAACTTTCAAACGATAAATGGTATCAACAAAAAAAAAGTTTAACGGGGTTTTGTTAATTTTCTAGGGAAGTTTTATATTCAATAAAAAAATTAAATCAAGTTTAAATTTGAAATTTCTCTTTCTGGCCGTACAAATTAAAATAAATTGTGGATCAAAATCAAAGCTTTAACCCTCGTCCGTCAAGGGCGTCTAGTGTCTCAAATGTTTAGCTCATGTTTTGATAATGGGATTTATACCACATGTATCATTTTATTGTATCAAAAATATATGTTTAGCAAATGCAGCATTGCGTGTTTTTCCGGTACTAACGTATACTCTTGTTTCTAGTTGTTGACTGTGGTGATGTTAAGCCGCCATACGGAGGGTATCGCACTCTCCCAGGAGGCACCAAATACCAAGCAGTCGTTACTTACACCTGTAAACCCCAGCATCATCTTCAAGGCAAACCATCACATGTGTGTCAAGCTGATGGTACATGGAGTGGAAGCCAGCCAGTATGCTTAGGTAACTAGCAAATCGAGGTCCCTTTTCTATAGTCTTTACTCTCTCGAACATGGAATGGCGTCAGCATATGATAAGACAGACAGACAGATAACAGGCAGACAGACAGACTACAGACAGACAGACTACAGAAATACAGACCACAGTAAGACAGACTACAGACAGGCAGCAGACTACAGACAGGCAGCAGACTACAGACAGACAGACTACAGACAGATAGACAGACTACAGACAGATAGACAGACTACAGACAGACAGACAGACTACAGACAGACAGACTAC